GGCTCCCAATTCAGTTCAGTCAAAACAGGTTTTCATTGATACAGTCAAATACTTTTTAGCAAGAACTGTTTCCATACTACACCTATGACAAGGTGTACCTGGCCTTTACAGCTCCCTACAAGAGGCCCTGTGGTCCTATAGCACCCTGCCACAGGACAGTAGTGAAGTTAGATCCTCCTATCCTATATAGAAGGGCCTCACAGAAGCAGCTGATCAGAGTCCAGCAGGGTTACATAAAAGGAGATGCAGAACCTTAGCAGTTCAGCTCCTGACTAGTACCAGGGAGGGAATGGTGGGTGTGCAAAAAACACACGAGGGATAAAAGGAGTTTGGTTCTGGCTGAATTGGGTTAAACTGGGGGAGAGAGAACCAGATAATTTTAACCCTAAGGTAAGAGGTGAAAATGATGACAGGTGGGAAGAGGCCCAAGGAAGAAGCAGCAACAAATTCAATTAGGGTTCTTGTTTGAGACCTGGAGTAGAGGGTCTCCAGCCAGCAAAGAGATGTAAACATTGAGAAGGCAACAAGGTCTGTTGGGAAGCCTGAACAAAGGATTGAATTTAAAGGGCTTAGAGCTGAGCTGAAGATCCTGCTGAGCGTAGACCCACAGTCTTTGTGGGACAACTTTGCTACTCTGGATTAGGTCCTTTTTCAGTGTGTATCCCAGCCAGAAGCACCTGTCAGGTAAGATCAGGTTACCATATCCACCTACTAGGAGGCACTCAAGAGATGAGTGCCCCTTGTTACAGTACCAAACTTAAACTTTCTGCCAGTAACCATTTTAGGCATGCAGCAATTCTCCATATTTTTGAAGTTTAATGCTTACCTGCCCTACACACACCCATAACATATGTAATTTTTACACTTAATTTATATATGTTTAGATCAGGTATGATGGAGAACTGTCAAGTAGTGCTGTAAAATAGGCAAAATCTGGATGTTAGCAAAAATGATACTTTCTCAAACACTATAACACTGGCTACAATTTTTACTGTTTAAAGTAATTTTAACACTTTAGCAGTGTTTGTTGCACAAAGCAACTTAATGACAGTGCATTAAAGATTTGTATTGGTTTTGCATGGACAAGGTTTGGGATTTCTTTCTAGAAATGAAGACGTGTATAACATATGGCAAAAAGGCAAGTATCAACATTTTGCTATATACCAACATGAAATGTTTTCACATCACATATTCTTAAATGTCAAATTGTCTCATAGGTGGTTTTCAAATAAAATCCATATTTTCAAATAAAATTTACTGAGCAGATCAGCCTCACATTCAGTGTTATGAAGCAATAGCAGTACAGTTTGCTTGGTAAAAGATTATAATTTGTAATTGCCTCTACATGTAGTAGTAGTCTTTGAAATATTTTAGAAACTAACTTTTTAATTGTGACACTTATGCATAAGTCAGTATTAGTATTAGAGACTACAGTGCATAGCTTCATATTGAGTTTCAATCAGCGCTCACTAAACAAAAATGGTGGTTTTGGTAATTAACATATAGATCTAATTGTGCTAATTTAGCACAAGCCTATATACTGGTACTAAATGAAAAATGGTGGTGTAAAGCTAACTTGTTTCAGGAATTTTACCTTTACAGAGGAGTATAATTTATGAGGACTTGGAGGATACAAGCCCCTTAAAACATACCTCAGAGAAAATGACTCTCTACAATCTTTGGGTATTATTAAGAAAATCAAAAGAATACAAAACTGTCTAAAGCAACCAGCACTGGACAGAATTCTGTGATTCTGAAGTAGAAGCCAACAGACATGTATTGGCAGCTGCTGGATGACTTTCCTACTTTACATTATGGGTGTCATGGAGCTTAATTTCAGAAATTCACAAGCAAATTGAATTTGGTACATGATAGAGTTGTATTGAACCCAGGAAAGAAAACAGTCTCTGAATCTCATCAGACAGTATCAGGTTCACCAGTTTGTATAGCCAACAGAATAAGTGCATACTCTACCAGTTGGTCGTCATATGCTGTTTGCTTCAGAAAAACACACAAGAAACTTCATACAATAGAAACATTTGAGAGAGTAACCAATCAAAGGAAGGGAACACTTCAAAAAAGATATTATGACATAAGCGCAGAATATCTGAGGAAGATTTGATTGCTAAGAATACTGTTTATCACTCAATTACTTTTCTTCCTACTTGAGTAAAATGAATCTTAAAGCAAAACCATCTAGTTACACTGCAACAATACATTCACTTGATGACATTGCATTTTATCAGCTGATTGAAGAGCTAGACAATTGTCTTATGTACAATAAAGCTGTTCTCCTGTTCAATCCACTACAAAGGTTTAAAGCCCTACTTCCCTTAGCTCTAGAATTTGCAAAGTATTCCAGTAGCAAATTACAGGAAAAATTAGAAAGACGTTATGTTCTACAACATATGTCTGACGTTTCATTCCATGCACAGCATGGACAACATAAATGTACCTTTGTTTTGCACATTAACTGATGCTATCCAAGTTGCTAGCAGTCTGATACAGAAACTTAAATTCATCCAAATGTTTTGTGAACATTCTTCAGGCAAGTGAGCCTGATGAGGAGCTTTCAAATGAACAAGTGAGTTATATAATTCCACTTCAGTCCTTCAGTCTGAAATAGCCCAAAGGAAAGACTCAATATTATTCAAAGCCAGGTGATTGGAGATTACATAGGTCAGCTACTTTTGTGTCCCACTTGGAGCAGGAGTTTGTCTTTTGGTGATAAAGAAATAGGCATAAAATTTATCTAGTCATGAATATCATCATTCAGAATACATTCAAATTGTGGAGTACAGTATTAAACTGTCCCAAGATTATGATACCACTGTACATAAGCCTTTCTACATAGCTACACCATGAGTTTGGGTCTTGCAATTTAATTGACATGCTTTACCTTTATGGATTTTTTTTTATCGGTGCTGATGAATTGAGGTGGCTCATCACTAGCTCTGCAAAAACTGAATTAGAAATACACCAGCAAGAATTGTTAATTCCAAATAGAATTACACCACTTTGTGCTGATGGAAATGTCATCCATAAAGAAGGTGATAATATAGACATCAATACAGAGAACAGTGATGGAAGGAACACCTTCCATTCAGTGTATAGAATAGTAATTCAAGAACAGTCTACAGATACACCAGCTCCACAAAAAGTATCATGGAAGATGGGGAGAAAGTCACCTACTCTTCCTGGGCAATCAAAGTCTTCTATACAGTGTGCAACTCTTGAAAAATCAAGAACATGTCCCGCCCCAACTCACCATGAAAAAGTAGTTGAGAAAATATTTGACACCTGCAAATGAACACTATCTGAGCTTGCTCTTGATGTCTTTTAAGATTACTGCCTCATGATGTCCTACCAAGATCAAATGATGACATTTGATCATAGTTGGATGATAACATTTTGGATCTATTTAATCCTCAAGTTTTCAACAAAGAACAGCACCTACACCTCAGTTGCATATGCCCTTGTAGATGTCCGAATAGCTGACATGCGCACCATCCATGATAAAATGCTGATATGTAAGGAAATGTCAGCAGCAGTTGGACAACTCCATGCTATTCAGACCATAGATCAGCAGCTCTGTGCTGTTGACCAACAAGTGAAATGAACTTCATACCAGTACAATTTGTCAGGATGCAGGTATTTTCATGGATGACCTACAAGATTAAAAGAAGCCTATTGAAACACATCTTTTATGCACCATTCTGTTACTGATGAAAAAGGAGGCATGGTCTAGTAGAATAATGCTTTCAAACATTCTCTAAGTATGGTCCCTGCTCTGAGGACCATAGAAGAAGATTACACAGAGCGATAGATGGACTTTTTTAGATTCTGAGAACAGAAGGAGCCACTGTGATAACCTGTTCTGACTTCCTACATAACACAGGTTATAGAACTTGGCTGAATGAATTCCTGTTTGAAAGAGTATTTCTTTTGGAAAAACATCCAATGATGGAGAATCCATCGCAACAAACTGTTGCAATGACTAATGACTCTCTTTCTCAAAAATCTATGTTTTTCCAATCTGAATTTGTCTTGCTTCAACATCCAGCCATTGGATCTTGTTACATCTTTATCTACTAGATAAAACAACCCATTATCAATATTTGTTCTCAATGTAAGTACTATACATGATTGCTATCAAGTCACTGTTAACTAAATAAGCAAAACAGATTATGCTCCTTTACTCTATAACTATAAGTCATGATTTCTAATCCTTCACTAATTCTCTGGCTCTTCTCTGAGCCCTTTTGAGTTTATCAACATCCTTCATGAATTGTGATATTAGAGCTGGACACAGTATTCTAGTGGAGGTCATACTGGTACTAAATCCAGAGATAATATAACCTTCCTACTCTCAGTTCTTAAGATTAGGGGAATGGAGTTCATATAGGCAGTTTATATACATATTAGTTTGATGTTTTGGTGTAAGCCTCAAAAGTCAGAATGAATGCAGATTGCTGTCTAGTGGTTAGAGATTAGGCGTGGAAGTCTACAAAACGGGTTTTATTCTCAGCGATATCACTCATTTGCTGTGTGAATATTGACCAAGTTACATACTTATGTATGTCTCTGATTTTCCATCTGTAAAATCTGGGTGATTGGCATCTCTAATATGTCCATTACTGCAATATCTTCCATATCTAACAGGGATGATGAGGAATTTCCTTAATGGTAGTTATAAAGTATTGAGAAATCATCTGAGAGAAGTTATAGAAGTGCAAAATATTTTAACAGTTTGAGTGCATGATTTGAGAACTGTTATTTAACTAGTTGGAAACTACAGTTTAATTTTCATTATGGAGATAACTGACTTTTCCCTGGAAGAATTTGTTTCAATGAGGCCATTTCTCAGGATCGGCACAGAAGAAAGCAAAAGGTTTTTATTACTTCAGCTCAGGTTATAAAATAGATGTATGAATCACTGGTGTGTTGGGACTGCCTCTTGCCTGCATTACTATATTTTTGCTCTTATCTCTTCTCCACAGCTTGCACTGAAGGACCCTGTACACACTGTGTCGCTGCAGCAATTTGTCTATGAGAAGCTAAAGGCACAGCAAGAATTACTGGGAGAACAAGCCTTTCAGGCACTTATGGAAACAGTGGATACAGAAATAGTCACGCAACTCCAAGAGTTCTTGCAAGGCTTTTAAAGAGCTGGAAATAAGATTTTGTATGTCTGACTTTCTAGCTCAAAAATATGAAAAGAACACCTATCCTTCCATCTTATATGCAAAAGCCTGCTTAAAAGCTAACAGTTACTTGTGTACAACAATAAAGAAGCAAAGACCATGAAACTGTTTTTTTCTTTATGTAGGATTGGCAGAATAATTTGCTCCTAACTAGAGTTTACAAACCTGTTTCACAAGAGAGTATAATTTTATATATATGAGGAATGGAGGAGAGTTGCATGAGTTTAATATGTACAGTGAAAACAACTTCTTAATTTGCTGTTAGAAAAAAATGTTTAAATTCTTATAATCATGTGCATTTAACATTTTGAGGTAAATTGAGGGCTAATGCTGGAGATATTTTTGTGTGACAATAATAGCTCAATTTGCCTTACACGTTTTAATTGTTTATTAATTAAAAATAACCAATTCTGCACACCATTTAAACAAATGAAAGTATAGGTTAAACCTCTAAAATCCAGGACTCTCTGGTCCGGCAACAGTCATGGTCCTGCTAAATCAGAGAGCACCAGCTGGCCAGGTTCAGGGGCTGGGCTGGCGGTGAGGAGTGCAACCCAGCATGCCAGCGAGGTGGAGAGCCAACACCCCTGACTGGGGCTGGTGAAGGCCCTGGGGCTGCAGGCAGCAGGGCCAGTGCCTAGGTACATGGCCCTGGATGAGTGAGCACAGCAGGGAGCACAGCCTCACCCAGGCTGGAGGCAGTGCGGCTAGTGGTGCATGGGAGTGCTGCCCCGGCCAGGGCCAGCACAGTGCAGCGGCTGAGACTGAGATGGAGACAGTGGGGCCTAGCACTCCCAGCACAGTGGGGAACACAAGATTGGGGGGAGCAGGGCCAACAGCCGGGACGGGAGCCTTGACCTCCCAGTTGCTAGACCAGGAAGGTCCTACCTGTATCAAAGCAGAAGACTATAGAACATTCTTCAATCTGATTTTAATGTTATATATTACTTGCATCTTTTTAAAAGACAACAAATTAATCAGCCAGATGTTTTATGTCCATTATACTGATCCATGTATGGGTAAAATTGTTAGAAAAAGGAAAATGTCCCATTTTATTTTCTGCAGATGTGTTTTCTACTTAAATATGATGGGTAAGAACCCAAAGACTTCATAGTAATGCACTTCTGTGCTATATCAGAGACCTAAGACTTTCTGATTCTAGTCTCTTTCTCTCAAATTAGGGTGGGACCTGAGTGTTTTGTAGATATATATTGCCAACCTTGCAAGAAGTTGGGGTGGAAGGTATAACTGCTGCTGAATAGTGCCCTCTTCTCAAGATTAAGGACCTGATCTATAGTCCTTTGATTTCAGTGAGCTTTAACTTTGGATCAGATAGTAGGAATGTTGATGAAAATGGTAAATTAGGAAAAATGGAGGGCTCTGTCGATCACACAAGAATGTTTCTATACATCCTTCTTTCCATCTCTCATTCTCAGGAAAGGGGAAAAAAGTGTGTTTTTTTTTTTTTATTTTGGTTTTTTGGGAGGGGAGGAGTGGGAGTGTTTTGCATTTCCTATCTGCCCTCTATTGCCAAAACCCTTTTTAGTTGTGGGTTGAATTTTTTTTTAAGGAAACTGTTAAAAACATAGAAGTAAAATGTACAATATGAATTTTCTATAGAAAGCTGGGTACAGTATGTAACTGGAGAACCTACTGCCCCTTTGTAATATTATAGAACTGAAAATGTACTAAAGAAATTTTGATGCTTCCAAAAAGACAAAAGCAGTAAAGTTTCAATTAAACTTTCCAAAGATACCTCACCTCTGACTGTCTTAATCTGTATGCTTTTATTTTTAAATATACAAAATATTCTCAGTAGTTTAGAGATTGATGCCTCCTTCAAAACTCTTATTGTACCTATAAGATACAACAGTGGTGTAAATTGTAAATGGCAATCTGAATTCTTCACTATAGGTTTAGCTTCTGTGCTTTATTATTAAGGCTCAAAGTTACTTAGCATGATTTATCCCCATACTATTAATATATTTTCATTACACATTCTAAAATATATACATTTAAATAGAACATATTTAGTAAGCTTTACTGACATATTCTGCAGAATGCCTATGTCAGTTAATGTGATGATAAATACTAAGGCATAAATACTTTTGAAGATAAAAATTCTAATGGAATGGACATCTTTCTACCTCCTGATGGGTTTTCATTTTTAGTTATTGATATAGTAGGTTTACTAAAATAGTTATTTTAACTATTACTTTAGGAAATGCTTCATTTATGTATGAAGAGTTTTGTTTATTTAAATCTCTAGATAAAAATATAGCTTTTAGTTCGAAGTGCCGCAGACTTCCTAAGCTCTAAGAATAATGTTTTGGTAACATGCAGTCACAAAATTAACAATTTATTTTGCAAAATATGTTATGTCTTTAATGTCAAAATAATAATTCATTGATTTCTTACCTGGTGTCCACTCTCCATGAGAATAACTTTTGAAATTAAGTATTTTTTCATATCAAACAATGTGTTATTCATTAATAGTTCTCAAGGTGTATAACAGAAGTCTTGAGGGAGTATGTACTCTTCTGTAATAGATGCTAGCAATATGTGATTAATTCTGGTAGTTTATTACTGTATGTCCATTATCTCTTGTTTCTGCATATGGAACATACCCATCCCCTATCATTCAGCACCAGTTGCCTCTTTGACCCCCCTCAAAAGAAATGTGTGATAGTCAAATGCTAGAAAGTATCTCTGGGTTAGAAAGGAACAGGAACTCAAGGATGATTAGAGCCATTCCCTTTTTGCATTCTTTCAGCCTTCCATGATGGGAGGAGCACAAATGGTTCCAACAGACACAGCATTCCAGAAGATTCTGGAATGGCATGTATCCCTCGATCCCACCAGTGTGAATATGCTGATACTTGTGTCAAAAAACTCCTCCTTGTAGGAGTAACTCATTTTCTTAAAAGAGCTATGATAACCCTGAAATACACTGATCTGGAAATAAATAAAAAAGACACTTTCTTATACAGAATTTGGTATTTCCTTAACTGTTTGCAGAGCTGAGATTGATTTGTTAAGTGATCAAATATCCTAACTTTATTTGCAAAATTCTTAGTATAATCAGGAAAATGTTCCTGTGCTTAGTTTTATTTGTGTTTCCCTTGATTAAATCTATAGTATCTCCTTTCCTCTATGTTGAGTAATTAATTCAGATCAACAGTCTTCTATATCTGATATCATAAAATGCTATAATCTAGTGCCTCAGGTGATTGGTTATTAATCAGAGGACAGCATCAGGATCTTGCCCATTCCTTCAAAAGGTAACTAGTTTTTATCGTCCTCATAATTTCCATTGAAAAGTCCAGCTCAGATAAAAACAATTCCTATAATTACCTGTAAACCTTAGGACACAAAGACATTTGAAATAGTATTTATTATTATGTATTAATTACCTAGACAAATGCAGGCATTACAGGAACTTTTCTGTTTATTATTGCTTATTTAACAGACTAATTCTTAATGCTAAGTGACTGTTACAATTATAAATGCTAATACGGGTTGAAACACTCTTAACTGGGACTCTCTGGTCTAGCAACACCCCATGTTACCAAACTGGGTGGGGTTGCGACTTCTTTGGAGGATAGGGACATAATTCAAAATGACCTTAGCAAGTTAGAGAAATGGTCAGAGGTAAACAGGATGAGGTTTAATAAAGAGAAATGCAAAGTGCTCCACTTAGGAAGGAACAATCAGTTCCATACATACAAGATGGGAAGCAACTGTCTAGGAAGGAGCATGGCAGAAAGGGATCTAGGGGTCATAGTAGACCACAAGTTGAATATGAGTCAACAGTGTGATGCTGTTGCAAAAAAAGCAAATATGATTCTAGGTTGTATCAACAGGTGTGTTGTAAGCAAAACTCGTGAAGTCATTCTGCTGCTCTATTCTGCACTAGTTAGGCCTCAGCTGGAGTACTGTGTCCAGTTCTGGGCGCCACATTTCAAGAAAGATGTGGAGAAATTGGAAAGGGTACAGAGAAAAGCGACAAGAATGATTAAAGGTCTAGAGAACATGACCTATGAAGCCAGGCTTCATGAACTGGGCTTGTTTAGTTTGGAAAAAAGAAGATTAAGGGGGGACATGATAGCGGTTTTCAAATATCTAAAAGGGTGTCACAAGGAGGACGGAGAAAATTTGTTCCTCTTGGTTTCTGAGGACAGGGCAAGGAGTAATTGGCTTAAAGTGCAGCAGGGGAGGTTTAGATTGGACATTAGAAAAAAATTCCTAACTGTCAGGGTGGTCAAATATTGGAATAAATTGCCAAGGGAGGTGGTGGAATCTCCCTCTCTGGAGATATTTAAGAACAGGTTAGATAGACATCTGTCAGGGATGGTGTAGGTGGAGCTTGGTCCTGCCTTGAGGGCGGGGGGCTGGACTCGATGACCTCTTGAGGTCCCTTCAGTCCTATTATTCTATGATTCTATGTCTGTCAGGGCTGACCTGTGGCAGTGAAACCAGCAGCCCAGTAGTAGGACTGCCGCCCAGTGCCGACACTGTGGGGGGAAGGAGGGAGACAGGAGGCAGTGGGGCTGGAGTCAAGCAGCGAAACTGGCCTGCGAGACCAGAGGCAGCAGGGCCACCCAGCAGCACAATCAGGAGCCCGGCAGCCCTGCTTCCACCAAGCAGCGCAGCATCCCCACAGGAATGGGAGGCAGCACGGCTGCCCCACAGGGCCAGAAGCCTGATCGCGGGTTGCCTGGTGGCAGGACCAGGAACCTGGGAGTGGGGATACCCAGTGGTGCAGCAAAAAACCTGGCAGTCCCGCTGCCACTCCGGGGAGATGCCTGGTCAGGCCAGGAGGCAGCAGGGCTGTCCAGCGAGGCTGAAGGCCAAGCAGGGCTTGTTGCCCAACAGCGCAACTGGACCCCATCGGGGGCGCTGCCTGCTGTGATGGAGTCGGCAGTGGGTTT